ATATGCAAAATGGTTCCAAGTCAACATTATTTAGAGAAAATCAGGGGAAAAAACCTTGAAATACAAGCCATCATCTCACCACATGTTGAAATAATAGCTGTCTCTGAATTACTGGTGGCAAGTCCCAAGAAAAGGCCAGACTGCTGATGTCGTCGCTCTGCTGGGTTCATAGCCATCAAGTGCTTACCCTCAAGTTATGAAACAGGCCATGCAAATTTGACCTTTAACAGTAATTTAAACTATTCTGCAGTTGTAAAGCACCACTCTTGTAAAAAGGTTCCACATTTAAGCAATACTAAACTGAAGGAACGCTATTGAGAAGCTATCCACAGCAATAAGGAATTTAGTGTAACATATTTCACAATGGTCTGAACAATCTTACTCAGCTTCTGAATTGTTGTCTTCTCCACTGGGCCGCGTGCCTTCAAGTTCTGCATTTGATGTACTCAGGTCTTCAGGTGCACTGTATTCAAATACATTGTGCAGTGTATAATATATGAAAAGTCTTGAAATACACTGTTTTACAGTTAAACTTGCCTTTCATGACACAATAGTGGTGGCCACAAACAAGACACCATTGGTTCCATTGTTCTGGTGAACTTACCCATCCACAGCTTAATAGAGAAGGGGTGTAGTGTCAATTTGTTCTTGAAGAGGGAAAATGTAAAGTATGTGTTTCCCATTGTTGGTCATCTGGAGCATCTTGTTTGTGTAGCCAACAGAGGATGCTCTGGCCACTGCCACCTTGAATGTAGAACAGGAGGTATTACAGGAGTAGAATAAGACAAGTGTCAGAAATACAGATGTGATTAAAAAAAAAACATTTTACAAAGAAAATGAAGCATCTTCATTTGAAGAGCACATCTGTCTGTGTTTGGTATTTTCTACACAATATCTAACCGTTCTAGGCGCTGAGCAGTGAATTAACTTCACATGTGTCTCCCTCAGTTGTTAACCTCAAAAAAAAGGAAAACATTACAAGTCGTCCTCCAGTTAGTATTCATTTCTGGATACTCAGACCTTTAGTAATCTAGACATACACATGAAATTCTCTCCACTGTCAACAGGACACCAATCTTTAACGTCAAGTTACTTACTGATAGTTTTTGATGTCGTTAAATCGTGGCATTGTTTCCACTGTCAATAAAACCTGCTTATATTTTGAATATAATCTTAATTTAAACCAAACAAGTCTTTTCGGGCCGTTCATTAATGAGGACTGGCAGCTGATGGTTTGTCTGGACTTCAGTCTAAACGCAGGCTCCATCTCACACAGACGTGACAGAAAAACTCAGTACTCACGTATTTAGCTAAAAAGGTGTGTCCACTAAAACAAAGAAATACTGTACGTGTCAAAGACCAGTGTCCTCCAAACATTAGTGAACTTCTTGGGTGGTTAAAACAAGATGATGCTAACGTTAATCTAGTCCAGATATAATCGATATGTAACAACAGCGTTCCCATAACGCTGGCAGTCAAGACTACAGAGCCAACAGGGCATAGGTGGCTAGTCACCGCTAAGTTACGACAACATTTCCTAGAAGCAAGTTTAACAACCGGCCTGGTTGTTAATATGAACACGCTAAAGCAAAACAACACCGTGTCGGAAGGCTAACCACACATGGACTAATTAGAAGACACACGCCTGGCTAGCCCTCAGCCCGAAAGGCTTCTTGCTAGCAGGGTTTTGCCAACATTACATGCTAGTGATGGTCCCCTGACACCTGAGGCTCCGACACATGCGCTGTAGCTCATGAAGCGATTGTATGGAACCACTGTGCCGAGGCGATTCGGTCACGTGACTAGTGGCGTTTGAAGCAGTTGAGTGACGTCCGAAGCAGTTGGATTCGTCGGATGTCATGCGAATCAGCTGGTTCGGTGAATGTAATATGAATACATTCATTCATTCATTTTCTACCGCTTAGTCCCTGAACGGGGTCACGGGGGCCCGGAGCCAATCCCGGCCAGCAATCGGGCGAAGGCGGGGTACACCCTGGACAGGTCGCCAATCCATCGCAGGGCTAACACATAGACAAACAACCACACACACGCACATGCACATGCACTCACTGTTTTTATATTTGTATCTTTGGATGACAGTACTGTATTTTTCATGTTGAATAAAGGGGGGAAAAAGAGTCATGCGAATCAGCTGATTGGTTCGGTTGGTCATGTGAATCACATTGCGGGATCGAGTGTGTTCAGAGATAGGATATTCCTATTTAGTGGCGTTCATTTGAATTTGTAGACTAGGTTGGTTTGAGAGTTTGTAGTGTTGTAGCAGATTGTGTATTTAGTGGAGAATCAGTGTAGATAGATAGATAGATAGATACTAAGTTACAGAGACAGACCTAAATAACATCTGATATAAAGTATATATAGATAAGATATACCAAGATGGATACCTAAAGATGGATTAGATACCTAAATATATATATATATATATAGAGGGAGAGAACAGATTAACTATCTAGCTAAATATACATATCTAGATAACACAAGCACACCCTCCTTACCCACATACCCATGAACCTCTTTACCAATGATCCCCAAATCAAACTTTGCCAAAGCCCATACATTCTGTATTTGCATCAGTCCCATGTGAAAATGACATCTGTCTGAATTTGTAGAGTACATCTCATGAATGTAGCAGCACCATTTAAATTTTTCATAACACAAAATACAAGGGAACACAAAAATAAGACATCCTAGATCTAAATGAATGAAATATTCTTATTAAATACCTTGTTCATTACATAGTTGAATGTGCTGACAACAAAATCACACAGAAATTATCAATGGAAATCAAATTTAGCAACCCATGGAGGTCTGGATCTGGAGTGACACCCAAAATTAAAGTGGAAAACAACACTACAGGCTGATCCAACTTTGATGTAATGTCCTCAAAACAAGTCAAAATGAGGTTCAGTAGTGTGTGTGGCCTCCACGTGCCCGTATGACCTCCCTACAACGCCTGGGCATGCTCCTGATGAGGTGGCGGATGGTCTCCTGAGGGATCTCCTCCCACACCTGGACTAAAGCATCCCCCAACTCCTGGACAGTCTGTGGTGCAACGTGGCGTTGGTGAATGGAGCGAGAGTCTGAGGATCTCATCTCGGTACCTAATGGCAGTCACGCTACCTCTGGTGAGCACATGGAGGGCTGTGCGGCCCCCTAAAGAAATGCCTCCCCACACTATTACTGACCCACTGCCAAACCGGTCATGCTGGAGGATGTTGCAGGCAGCGGAACGTTCTCCACGGCGTCTCCAGACCCTGTCACGTCTGTCACATGTGCTCAGTGTGAACCTGCTTTCATCTGTGAAGAGCACAGGGTGCCAGTGGCGAATTTGCCAATCTTTGTGTTCTCTGGCAAATGCCAAACGTGCTGCACGGTGTTGGGCTGTAAGCACAACCCCCACCTGTGGACGTCGGGCCCTCATACCACCCTCATGGAGTCTGTTTCTGACCGTTTGAGCAGACACATGCAGATTTGTGGCCCGCTGGAGGTCATTTTGCAGGGCTCTGGCAGTGCTCCTCCTGTCCCTCCTTGCACAAAGGTGGAGGTAGCGGTCCTGATACTGGGTTGTTGCCCTCCTACGGCCTCCTCCACATCTCCTGATGTACTGGCCTGTCTCCTGGTAGCACCTCCATGCTCTGGACGCTACGCTGACAGACACAGCAAACCTTCTTGCCACAGCTCGCATTGATGTGCCATCCTGGATGAGCTGCACTACCTGAGCCACTTGTGTGGGTTGTAGACTCCGTCTCATGCTACCACTAGAGTGAAAGCACCGCCAGCATTCAAAAGTGACCAAACCATCAGCCAGAAAGCATAGGAACTGAGAAGTGGTCTGTGGTCACCACCTGCAGAACCACTCCTTTATTGGGGATGTCTTGCTAACTGCCTATGCTTTCCACCTGTTGTCTATTCCATTTGCACAACAGCATGTGGAATTGATTGTCAATCAGTGTTGCTACCTAAGTGGACAGTTTGATTTCACAGATGTGTGATTGACTTGGAGTTACATTGTGTTGTTTAAGTGTTCCCTTTATTTTTTTGAGCAGTGAGGAGCATATAGGGTTACACTCCGACGTGCCAAATAAGAAACATGGTCTTCAACATGAGTTCATGTGTATTTCATATTTTATTGTGTCAGCTTGAAACCACACAACCATGTAGTGTAGTGGAACAGGAATGTGCATGGCAAATCAAATCTCAAACAATCCATGAACCAATAAGTGACACGTCTTGATTGCACTTCATTTTCTTGACCACTAGATGTCCTACTCGAGCACTGTGTCACTGAGGCCTCGAGTAATAAACCATTTTTGTGAATACTGTCAACAAAGCCTCGCTCAACCATCACTAGATCTACAGCGGCTCAACCTCATCGTCAATGAGCCTGGAACGTCCGTCCTTCGACAATGGTATGTCCAGTTTCATTTTTACCAGCACTGGATTCGAACCTACATCCTCTGAATTTCTCTTCCCCATTTTCTCTCTCCTTCTTCTACAGACTATTCTTCCCCAGCTTTTTCTCATACATGAGACTGAGACTGCACAGAGGTCTAAATCACACTCACAAAATTATTTATCATGCAGCCCTAATAAATATCCATTTCAGCAGACTTCTTACAGTTTCTGTATTAATCTGTATTCACCCTTTCATTTCAGAGTAGAGCAGTCAGGTATGGTAGGTAGGCAGGTAGGACTTTATTGATCCCACAATGGGGAAATTCCTGTGTTCCAGCAGCAATAGAGAGCAGCAACAAAACATAAGAACAAACACCACACACATACTGTATCTTGAGAAACAAATTCCAAAGTACCTAAAACCAAACAGAATGTAGTATTTGAGAGACAATCAAGAACAAGAATGATCCTCCCACAATTAATCCCTGAGAACAATCAAAATACCCAAGAACAAAACAAAATATAGTATTCAAGAGATCAAGAAATCAAGGACAAGAATATTACTCCCATAATTAACCCTGCAATGGGGGAAATACCTGTATTTCAGTCATGAGGATCTCTGAAAAAATACCTAAAACAAGACAATATAAAGTATTCGAGAGAAATCAAGGACAAGATTTTACACGTGCATATTTACAATGTATTTTAGATAAAGTTGGGACGGTGTGTACAATGTAAAACAACTATATTTCCAAATGGGCATCAGAAGAAATACGTTTGCTCAAAGCCACTCTCATGTCCAGTGTAAACAGGACTGTAGTTGTATATCAATGCTTTGCTCTCCCCCTCCTCAGATTCAAATCTGTGAAAGTTCTTCCTGGCTGTATGGAGAGAAGAAATGCAGAGCTTTGCACGTCATAAAGACTCTCATGTAGCTACTGTAGTGACTAATAGAAAATGTAAAATAAAACTCTTCATACCTTCACTGACAAAGAAGTCAGCCATGTAGAAGGTTGTCTTGACAGCTGATGGAGAGTGTGGAAAATAAGGCCTTGTCCATTCAAATGCATTCTTCTCTGGATGCCACTGTGTACCATAAAATGGGTAATCGTATGCTGTCAAGATGTAACAGAAGAGGAAACACACATTTACAGAGTTCTCCATTTTTATGTGAACTTGCACATGCTGCATTATAACCACATGTACCTTCCACTGTTGACACAAATTCTATTCTTCCATCTGTATTTGTGGAGAGAGCTCTGTAAAACATCTTCAGTTCCTCATTCGTGTTGTAAGTCTGAAGGAAAAAAACAATTTTGACAAAAAGCTCCCAATTTAACTACACCTGGCTTTCTCCTTTTATACTTTGTGTTGTCAGAAACTTATTTAGACAAATCTATTTACACCACACCTGTTACTACACGTTAGTGTTGTTAATGAATGACTTACTGACAATGCCAGACTCCACTGGTGAGAATTTTCTGTCAGTGGCTCTGAAGCCAAATCTTTCATAAGTTCAGCTGGAAATCCTTTAAACATCCTGCTGTCTTTGATTTCTGGAAATAAGTCATAACAATATGGCCATTAATGACAAAATGAGTTTTTTCAAACAAATAGATACATTTTCATAAGATTTTTAAATTAGATAATGAAAAGAAAGTTCACTTTGGTCCTGTAAACTACTGAAATGCTCTCACATTGACATGGAAACTAATCTGAACTGGAGAAAAGGAAAGAAACACTGTTTGGTGGAGAAAATATAGATTGCCATACCACAAATTATGTGTCAATATTACAGCAACAAAAAAAAAACATTCCATTTTAAACTCTACTCCACTTTTGCCAGTCCGACCTTTATGCTCAGACAACACTTTAATAGACTCTAGTTAAAGCTATCATATCTAACTTGAGGTAGCATAGGCTAGTGGTTAAGGCGCAGCGCTCTCGCCGCTGCGGTCCGGGTTCGAGTCAGGGTTGTGTCAGGAAGGGCATCTGGCATAAAACACGTGCCAAATGTAAACATGCGAGTCGTCAGTGTGACGATTCGCTGTGGCGACCCCTAAAAAGGGAAAAGCCGAAAGTGACTTTCTATGTAACTTGAGGTAGCACTAGCATGAAACTACAAATAAATCCATCACACTCTGCCCAGATCTTCAGGTCATTATGAAATTATAAGAAATGAGAATGCAACAAACATTACTGATCAAACAGAATAACTAAAAACCTTTGATTGGTTAGAGAGGTCAATCCCACTCAAAACCTTTAGAAGCTAATATTTCTGTACTGCTGCCAGCACTGCTTTGGAGTGCTACAACAAAAATATCTGAAAAAGTTACATACTGTAGCTTTAAAATAATAAAAGAAAACCTTTGCTAAGAATTAACTCTAAATCCATTGCAAAAATTTCAAAAGTTATAACTTGAACATGAATGTTCCGAGGTGGAGGTAACTGTCTGTATTCATATATGCACTACTGATTAAAAATTAAGATGATGCTCATCTAACCAGTAGTATTTCTATTAAGAAAAAAGTCCATACCATCAGTAAAGTTCAGAGGCAATGACACATTCTTCGTATCGGTATGTGAAAGCACCATCTCTCCACACGTCAAATAGGTCAGCTGCTCAAATCCGAGACAGGTGCCCCACACAGGAAAATAGTCGCGTCTCTTGTTTGCCTGAAACATCACGTACAGTATGCAGCATAATCCAGCATCAACACAGCCGAACCAAGTTAATACTATTTAGTCTGACTTCTTCCTACTCCATTCAAACATGTAGTAGGTATACATATTTACCTCAATAGCAAGTTCATAAAATATTTTGGCAGCCCTTTGGTAACCAGATGAAATAATGCTGGCACTTCCACCAGGGTAAAGGATTCTGTCAACAAAGAAATGCAGGAACTGAGGTGCATGATGGAAATGAAAATGCATACTGTACAGTACAGCACTTAAACCAGATGTTGCCTCAGTGTGACCCATTTCGGGGTCACTGGTGTTTTTGTGAGTTTACCAATTTACACATTATATAACTGTGTTTAAAACTAGTGCTTTGAAACTCTGGAGGTAGTCTTATGTTACCTCAGTAATAAAGCAACCAGTTAGCCTTCGCTGTTGAAGACCTCTCTCAAAATACTTCAGATTAACTACACCCCACTAGAGAGCAGAGCTTAGTCTGTGGTTTTCTATGGGACCTTCCAGGGTACGGTAGTATGTGACAATCCCAAACAGGAAGAGCAGCTGCTGCCAAAGAAATGTGCCTTACTATATAGTATGTGGTAAAAATGGGGTCCATCCACCTCCTGAAAAATATGCCTTACTAGTCATTATTGAGGTCATACTGTAGTTAAAAGTGGTGGTGTACTGGACTGCATTATATTCAGAGGTGTTCTTGACCAGCTGTATCACTGTCTGGTACAGCAGCACTACTGCTATGGACCGCAAGCGCATACAGAGAGTGGTAAAGACTGCGGAGAAGATCACCAAGACTCCAATGCCCTCTCTGCAGAGCATTTACCACCGCAGGGTTCGTAAGAAAGCTGCCTCCATCCTCAAGGACCCCACCCACACCCAGCACGGACTGTTCATACCTCTTCCTTCAGGCCAAAGGTACAGGAGTGTGAAATGCAGGACCTCTAGACTGAAAAACTCTTTCTTTCCAACTGCCATCAGACTCCTAAACAGCTGACAGGAGCTTATGATCAGGAATTAATTCTTGTAATTCCACATGCTCAGTTTGCACATTCATTGCTGAGTGTTGCATATACAGCTTCTGATGCAGCATATTGTGGCGACCCTGACCGGTCGCAAATGTTCGTGTGTTCTGTTGTGTGCAAAGTGGGTTGACACTGTTGTGAAAACTGTTGCATGTATTGGTTACCTCCGTTGTCTGCAAAATGCCGCGCTGTTCTGTCCAATGTGGGATGGGGGGAGGAACAGGTGCGGGAGGAGATAAGAGGTTCTGTTGGCGGGCGATGGTGAAGTTCTGGGAGACTGTTGATTATTCTTTTATTTTCTTGAGAGAGCACATGGTGCCAGTTCGAACAGCGTTTTCTTTTGTCTCCATACCGCGTTCAATAAAACCACAAAAAGACAAACCAGGTGTTCTCCTCCTTGTTGAGCCAGGTGCCGGCACACTGCTGGCTAGTTAGCTGTCTCAGTGTAGGACAGGGTCAGGCCAGCTCCACTCAACCGAGCCAGCGGTCGTCACAATATGTTTTCTCTTTATTATATTTCTTTTCACTTGCCATTTTTAAAGTGCTCTACTTTGTATTTCGCTTTCTATTGTGGACAGCAAAGTAAGAACTTCATTGTACAGGGAAGCATGTTTCCTTACTGTGCACATGACAATAAAAACTTTGACTTTACTTAATATTCTGACCCTCTCATGTATGTCAATGGGCAGAACAAAAATATACAGACACCTCTGAATATAATGTAGTCCAGTACAACACCACCTGAATGAACACATAATTAAATTTATACATTTATGACAATCTCACCAAAAACTGAAACATTTTGAGCTTCATAAACACAAATGTTAAGACTGAAGTGCATACAGACACACAGGTGGTCATAATGTTATGCCTGATCAGTGTATATAGCACATTTTATAAAGCACATTTACCCGTTAATGGAGTTGAACAGTTTAATGTAGTCCTCCGATGTCTGGTTAATCCTGCAGAAATGAAGAAAAGGAGGATACATGTTTCGGTTCATACATGCTCCAAGTCTGTGTTACTAAACATCTTATTTTCTGAGATAATAACAAGTATGAACGTAGTCCGGTAATCAAAACAGAGACTCACATGACAGGGACAACCCTGGCTCCTGCTGACTCCAGAAACTTGACATAGGAAGCAGCGATGTACGCCGTTTGATTTGGTTTTGGCAAATAAACCTCTTGAGCCAGAATACCTTTGTGAGAAAAACGTGGATAGTTTAAACACTATGCGTAACATTACTCGACACGTCTTAGGTCAAAACAGCGCCAGTGCTTTCCAAACATAAAACAGTAATGATAATAGTACGATGGCGGCTTTAGCCTACTGTTTATCAAATTATCTTAGTGTTACAGTACACAGCGGGGTAATAAACTTGCCAATAATAGGCCTGTCGTTTCTTTTTGCTGAAGAATAACAAGGCAGACTGAAAAGAGAAATGCAAAACAAAAACAAGATCATCTTTCAGCAGGGTAAAAATATTGGGGCACGCCTCAATAGCCGCTGGGTATTTGTTGTTGCTTACAAATCTTCCGGGATGCCTGCTCCAGAATAAAAGCATCACGATTGCCCTCACAAGATCAATTAGTTTTTCACAAATCACATTCATCAGAAAGTCCCCAGAATATTTAACATGGTAACTTCTATAGTGCTAATTCTTTCAAACTGGTTTAAAATTCTCATCTTATTTAATCGACCCATTTTTGCGTATGTTAGCTTCAGCTAATTCTTCATTTTTATAGCACTATATTATGCAAAACATTTATTAACATTTGTATTTTAAACAATAGTCAAGCATTCCAGGGATGTAAGGGACGTGATGTTAAATGTTTGCCGTTTTAACTTTTAAACACATACCTATTTTGAAGTGTACAACTCAAAAAGGAAATACTTCCTTGGACAATGACGTAAAACTGTAGTCTCGACCTGAAATTCAAAGCTCATTACAAAAACAAAGTGAGTTCTGTGCAGTGTTTCCCTACTGACATGTGTCGAGACGAGAGTTTTACCTCATGGGACAACATCCTGTAGAGCTCTACTTTCGAGATGGTCAACCTCTCTCTGATTGTGCTGTCCGCCACCAGGATGATGAACTACAGAGCAGGAGACGAACGTCCTCTTCTTCTTCCTATTATGGTTATTGGCGGTTTGCAAGTCAACTTAAGACCGCCCCCTGCTGGCCTGGAGAAAAAAGTTCACTCTGAGCGACCTCTCGAAAAACATTTACAGCAACAAAATGCAACACATCCGGCGGGCACTTCCAGGTCAAGAGCCTCACAGTGATTACTGGTGACTGCTATGCTACATCAGCCTTGTTAGTTCACATTTGATAGTTTGTTGATTCAGTTTTTTTGCTTAAAAAGTATCTGAAGGTGCTCATGTATGAATTCAAGTATAATGGGAAAGCTATGGTGGTAAGTATATATCAATACAACATATGATTAGAATAAAATAGTGACATGCCAATTTTGGTTCATAAAGGTTTTAAAGTTATGGTTCATTTATACTGCTCAAGTATATAAAATTGATGACTGGATTAGTATAATTATGTGTTTCTATAGCATTGATGCATCAAAAGAGGATGGGTCTTATGGAAGACTTCTGAATGACAATCATATTATCCCAAATACCAAGATAAAATATATAACAGTGCAAGGGAAGCGACACTATTGCCTGTTTGCTATTTGAGACATAAATGTAATATCTTGTTCCTGATTTTTCTCAAGTACATTACATTGTCTTGTTTTTAGGTATTTTTGAGTAGTCCTTATGAGATTCTTATGGCTATAATACAGGCATTTTCCCCATTGTCGAATTAATTATGGAAGTAATATTCTTGTCCTTGATTTCTGGATTCCTCTCAAATACTATATTTTGTCTTGGTCTTAAGTATTTTTTATTTGTTTTTCAGGGATTAATTGTGGGAGGATTATCTTGTTCCTGATTGTATCTCAAATACTATATTTTGTCTGGTTTTTAGGTACTTGGAATTTGTTTCTCACGATATGTGTGCGGTGTTTATTCTTATGGTGTTTTATTACTGCTCTCTATTGCTACTGAAACACAGGAATTTCCCCATCCTGGGATCAATAAAGTCCTACCTTACCTTATAAAGGCTCTATTCTATTATAAAGCCACGTCCGGTTCTTTCAAACCAGGAACTCAGTGAGACGAAGCGGACCACTTGAGTATATAAAAAAATATAACCGTGCTGGTTTATTCAAAGGGTCACAGGCAAGAATTAACATTACACGTCCAGGCATCTTCCACCCCCAAAACTGCTCACAGGCAGCCCGGAAGAAGAAAGACCCTGAACCCAAGATCTCTATACAATTTAATCACTTCGTTGGGCTAGCCCCATCCTACACAGGCCACGTCAAACCGTGACGTCACCTGATATGCCTCATGACAATGAACTAAGCATTTAACAGCCTGAGCAAGACATCCTGGCTACACTAACATTTTCTAATACAACAGATCTCTAATCAATATCTATCTAACTAAGAAAATACCTAACAAAACCTAACAAAGAAAGATAGCCATAGTTCCCTTTGGCAGCATGTAATACAGGGACATTCTTGAGTCAGTTCTGCCTCTGAAAGTAACGCAAGATTATTTTTATACTGCCTTTCAATAACACCAAGTGTTTAGGTACTTCCATTTTGATATAAATCCTTGCTATGAGCTGTTAGGTATTTTTAGTCAGATAGATATTGGTTAGGTACTTGTTGTATTAGAAATGTTTTTAGTGTAGATGTAAGGTTTGAGTCTTATAGACTCTAGTTACTTTATCAGCTTTAGTTACTTCTCATGCCTTTAGTTCCCTTTAGTTACCTTTCATAACTTTATCTTACCTGATTACAGCTGTATTGATTATTATGCAGAACTACTGAGCTCTGGTTATTTTCTAATACATTTATTCTCCTTACTTATATGTCTTACAATTGTAATGAGGTACAGTCTGCTTACTTTCAGCAACTTCTGAATGTCTGCATCCCCCAGGCAACCAAACAACCTATTTACATTTCAACTAAGCCCCGCTAGCCCACACCTGGATACACCTAGCATATCCCAAGTTCTGCCCCACCACATAGACAGGATGTCTAGCTCAGGCTGTTAAATGCTTACTCATTTACATGAGTTACTCCAGGTTGTTTATGGTCAAGGATAATGTTGAGTAAAATTGTTAACAAAGTAATACATTAGGATTAATTTTAATATTAGACTGAATTAAGAACTTAGCTAATAGAAGATTGACACTATGTTTGTTGATTAGTTAACTTGTTTGTTCACTTTGTTTGTGTATAACTATTCTATCATATTAGAAAAGGAATAGTTACGATTATATTTTAGAAATACATAAGTTCACATACTTACATGTCACAGATATGTTTATGAAGTTACTATTCACCACATTATATGTTCACTAACATGATGAGAAAATAAGTTACTGTATGCATACTGAAAACTCTGTGTGATATTACAGGCCCATGAGATTAAAAGTGTGGTGCACTGAGTAGCTCTCCAAGGTTTTATCATCCCACATTCCATTAGATTTGTTGCCTTTTCTCCACAAGAGCTCATTATTCCATCTGAGGCTTGAAGCCAGGGGAGTTAGAGTTTGATAAGATACTAAGATTCATACCAAGGTTATAATCAGATTTTGGCCTAGAAGAAACAGCTGCCTGCTAAAATAACTAATTTCATATACACACACAGGCAATGTCAGATCTTCCTTAGTCTGTAGGAAACTGTCTTTATCCATTGGAGCAGGAGGGACCTGGATGGATGGACCAATGGACCAATGG